AAAAAAAAAATAAAAAAAAAAATAGATGAGCTATTCCCTGCTAGCCAACTGTTTAAGAAAGGCAAATGATTACAATCCAGGCCTCTGGGGAGTATTTTGAATGTCTTGAGTGATGTATATAAGATTGTCAAAGCTCAGATAATTGGGTGGTCAAATGCTGGAGAGCTTGGAGATCAGGGAAAGAACGGTGCACTGGGGAGGGGGGCAGGTATGGGGGGGGGGCTTAGTTCCTGACACCAGTGCTTAGAAGGACCAAATTTAAGGGCAGTGTCAGTGGGGCTCCCCCCGCATTATAGCCCCAAGGGCCAGGTGGCTTCATCTTAAATAAAGGAGACTTGCTTCTGTGTGTCAATAAAAATCTTCCAATCAGAATATTTGGGTCCTTGGCTTTGGGGTCCATTACTTGGTGTAAATAAAGCTTCTGATTTCCTCCCTTGCCTGTCTAGGATTACGTGATACCTTAGGTAACTTCGTGGTTAATGAAAATGTTCTAATTTTGTCTCTTTTCAGGAGTTGCTAACTTTTAAATTCTGAATTGTGTGTAGGCGAGAATTGAGATTTTTTTTTTTAGAAAAACGAATATAATGCAGTTAGTTCAATGTGTACAGGAGAAATAGATGGGAAAAATTACAATAAGTGAGTTTTCTGCCACAGTCAAAGCTTTTAGCAAAAAGAAAAAATTCAAAACCTATCCTGGTGCTTAATATGAATATACTTATTTTTCAGTGAGGCTGTGATTTAGCCTTTCTTAACACCAAAGTGGAAGAGGTTCTAAATATTGAATTATTTCTTTGAACAGGTTTCCACCTCACCCCCTCCCTTCCTCCCACAGGGGCCTGGTTTGATGTTAGAAATGAGAGTGGAGTTGAGGTCTGGTGGTCTTGGTGAGTTTGGGGGCCAAAAAGCAGCAATACCTTGGATGACCTGTCCAAGTATTACTTACCTCCTAGGCTTACAGAGGATTGAAACCTTTCTGGGACTTGTGTTGATTTGTTTCCAACAGTGTCGACAAAGTAAGAAGCATATATCAAGTAGAAGAAGGACAAGTTATGGGCAGAAGTGAGTGAAAGCTTTGGAGGAAGAAAAGTGAACATTTTCATTTCAGTCTCATATGAAAATGAGTATTTAGTAAGGGCCATGTATTGGGCTGAGTACTTTGTGGGGATTATTTCTTTTACCCCTCATGATGACGCTGAGAGATAAGAAAAGTTCCCTCCTCCCCTTTTCTTTTAATCGGTTGATGGAGCTGAAGTTCAGAAAAGTTATGTCAGTTGCTTAAGCACATAAAGCTGGAATTCAGACTCAGGTGTTCTGTTACTAGCCTTTTTAGACACACAGAGGCTGGTCAGTGGGGTAGGGGTACTTTCTGCCAGGGACAGAAGTTAGATATTTTTTTTCTGGCTCCCAAATTTCTCATAGAAATCTATTGAAAGTTCTAACAAAGCTCTATTCTCTATTTGCTCCAACAGTAGAAACTTGATTTTTATTAGTTTTAGGAAAACAATCACCTAAAAATACTTTATGTTCTTTTAGGTAACAGATAAGATGACACAATTACTTTGGGTCCAAATCTGCTTGTCATGTCCTAGGCACAGTACAAGGCACTAGGATTCAGTAGGAAAGAAGAATTCGGCTGTCCTGTCCTCATGGGCTGACAGTCTAGTGGTGAAGACACATTAATAAGCAAACCAGTGAGTTAGCAATTTTCGGACAGTGGTAGCGCCCTAGGGTAATGAGGGTACCATGTGGGGAAGAATGTCAAGCAGCAGTTACAGCTTGTCCAAAGGCACCTAGCACATTGGGGGATCTGGAGAAAGTTCAACATGGCCAGAGTGTAGAAGGCAGATAGAGAGTACATAGAGATGAGGAGGGGGAGGTAGGCAAGGACCAGATCATGAGGACTCCCAAAGAGATTTTGGAATGTTTTAAGCAGGGGCATGACATGGTCTGATGTATGTGTCTAAAAGATCATGCTGGGGGGAAAAAAAAAAGATCATGCTGGTTGTATGTGTAGAATAGATTGAGGGGGCAAAGAAGGATTCAGAGAGAGTCTTTATGCAGCCCAGTTGAGAAATGATCCTGGCTGAGATTTGGGTGGGGGCAGAAGAGTTGAAAAGAATTGGAGGATTCAAGAGATAGACTAAAACTTAAGATCAGTAAGATTTGATGCTCAGACTTCATTATTTGCTAAATTATTTACCAGCACCTACCATGTGCTAGGCATTGTGATCGGAATAAAATGGTTTGCAAAACATCCCCAGACCAACTGATCTTGCTTTAACTAGGACAGGGGGTGGGATAGGGAAGAACATGGGCAAAGGCCCTGTGGCAGGGATAAGGAGAGGGAAGACTGGAGGTGCTTCAGGCTTTGCAGTGGTAGATGACATGGGTAGGGAGAAAGAGCAACAGATTGGGCAGACGGGTGAATTCTTTTTGGTACATTGAGATGCTGTTGGTATCCAGGAGCTGAATCCCAGTAGTTGTTGGCCATGAGGTACAGATTTAGGAGGTATAGATTTAGGAATTATAGAAGTCACAGGAGTCAGTAGAGGGGACAAGATGACCAGAGAGAGTGTAGAAAAGGCAAAGAGCAACACAGATTCTGAGACCAGAGATTTGGAGGACCAGTACCTCTGGTTTCTGTTCTCCAAGGATCTCTCTGAATTTGTGTTTTTATTCTTTTGAGTAGAGTCAAATGTCCCTTTTCATTACACATTGCTCAGGGAGCAGTTTCAGTGGACAGAGACCTGGAGCTGAGCCAGCGGGCAGTGTGAGGCTCCCCACTGAATGAGGAGCCTGACTCAGGGCTCAATCTCAGGATCCTGAGATCATGACCTGAGCCAAAGTCAGATGCTCAACCAACTGAGCCACCCAGGTGTACCCCCTCCACCCAACTTTAAACAGAGGATCCTTTCCTTTGCTGAGTTTAAATTTTGAAGCCCTAGAATCTTCCTGAATTCCACTTCATCTCATTAAAAAATAATAAAGAGCCAGCGTTGAGGAGTGAAAGTCTACCAGTCTCTGTACCAAGCACTTTTCATGCACTGTTTCATCTGTTCCTTACAACAACCCCCATAGTTAAGTGTTATCCTCATTTTCCAGATGAAACAAAAGCAGAGAGGTTTAAGTGGGCCGGATGGCAGTGTTGGGCTAATAATCATAGCTTGTATCCAGAGAGAAGGTTGGAGCTCTGCAACTGACCACCTGACCCTTCTCATAGATGTGGTGGGACCAACTCGGAGTTTATTAACAAAGAGCCCTGGGTGTCGATACAGTGTTTGATGTCCCAGGGTCAGGCAGATGGCAGGTTGGCACTGGCTGTTTTTGTACTAAGGGGTCCTCAGCCACTGTGTGGGCAACATGGGAGCACTGGGTCCAGCTGTGAGAAGTTGGCCAGCACAAGTGGTCCAGGATCAGATAAAGAGACAGGTTCTCCCACCCTGTTCTGAACAACAGGAAGTCTTCCAAAAGATTGCTGACAGGTCCATCACACACTGGCTGACTTTCCACCTCCTCCCCTCCAGGCTCCAGAGGCCTGTTCTGTTCACTTTCTTGGCCTTTGTTTTTCCTTCCAGGATGGCTGGTGATTGCCTCAGGACCTCTCCTCCCTCTCTCCCTTATCCTCCTCTTCTTCTTCCACTTAACTAATGGTAGGTGAGGGGAGACCTCTAGAGCTGCCAGGCAGACCAGGAAGGCTTTTGCCCAGTCTCTTTTGAGGAGACTTATGGCTTGAGACCCTTGGGAAAGAACTGCACTCCCCTACCCCCCATTTTTGTTTTTTTTCTTTAAAATTGGGACCTCTGGCAGATTGCCCATTTGAGGATCATTGACTGTGGGGGATGTCCTGATTGTTTTCTAGGAAAAATGTAAAATATGGCTAAAGTTTATTATTTAGTTTTCTACTTAATAAACATGGTCAGGAAGAAGATTAATTTCTTTTTTCTGACTTATCCAAGTGTTATGTGGCCATGGTGGAAAAATGAGGAAACACCAAAATAGAAAAAGGAAGAAATAGAATTGGGCATAACACAGAAAATCAGGTCTTTGTAATCTTACCACCCAGGAAATAAGGGTGGTTGACATTTTACTCCCATGTTCCAAGGGTCGTTGTTGATGAGAAGCTCTGCTTAAGAGTCAGGTAGACCTGAGTTACAACCCTGGCCTTGGGCATCTTCACCTCTGTGTACCTTGGTTTCCCCAATAATAAAATGAGAATAATAGTAGTACCTGCCTCACGTGGTGGTCGTGAGGCTTCAGTAAGAGACCATTTGTAAAGGCCTTAGCACAATGGGGGGGGGCATGATGATGCTCGATAAAGGTTAGTCATCATTATTAGAAATGGTAACACTGCAGGGCTGTGCTAGAGAAACACTGTGTCTAGACATCTGTTTCAGCGATCACCTGCAGGCAATATTGAGTGCATCACTCCAGAACACTGAGTTGTGTCTGCTTCTTTCCATGAAGAGCCTGGAATCTTTTAGTCAGGTAACCAGGTGGTGAGGAAAGCTAAGAAAACCAGGGTCACACTGCTACTTCCTGGCCTGGTCTCCACTGGGGCCAAATGGTCCAAAGGACAGAGTTAGTCACACTAGACGAGGCCCTCCTGACTGAGCTGAGGTCCTGTACCAGCACTCCCCTGCGTCCTTTGGGGAGGCCAGAGTGTGAACGCACCAATTTGGTGTGTCTCAAAATCAAACAGAACTTGTTTTCCAAGAATCAGTCCCAGAACTGTGTTGACTTCCTGACCCTTTATGATAAGTCTTTTAAGTATAAGCACATAAGGGAAATATTAATGCCCTTAGTGTTTTTCATTTGTGCCACTTTTTTGGATGTTGTTTAAAACATTGGTTTGCCTTTGGGCATTAGGAAGAAATGACAAAATGATAGATTCGATTCTGGAGAGTGGAACTTGGCTGGCAGATTGTCCGTGTGCACATGATTTGTCACGGTCTACAGATGCTGACTGTTTCGTTTGAGAATGTGTTCTCCTGTGCTCCCTTTCTCTAGGTATAAGTTCAGGTTCAGTGAAATGGTCTTTCTCTTGCCAGGTCTGGGTTGTTTGGAGGAATTGGTTTTTCCTTATAGATTCTCACAAGCAATGAACTGAGGTTCATTTTCAGTTCCTTTTCAGCACCTGGCACTCCTTCTAAATAGGAGAAATGCTTCCCTAGCTTTCCTGATGATCATTGCTGCACAGTTTTAACAGAAAACAAACTTGGAGCCCAGAAAGCAATTTCAGGAGAGAATACTTTTCCACGCCGTTACAACTCTTGTGGCTTTGCAGGTGAATGATTTCTAGCCAGGGAACTTGAGCAAAGACATTGGAAAAGACGTTTAAGGGGCTCTGGGTTTGGAGGAGAGATCCTGGGAAGACCTGGGTTACCCTGTGCATCTACACCAGATGCCTGATGAAGCCATGGGGAGTTAGCTGGTGTCCACCCCAGCACACTGTCTTCCCACATCACTGAGCCTGGTGTTTGTTTGTTTTTTATTTTTATGTATATATATATATGTATGTATGTATGTATGTATGTCTTTGAGAGGGGGAGGTGTAGACGGGGAGAATCTTAAGAGGGCTCTAGGCCCAAAACGGAGCCTGATGCAGGACTCAATCTCAAGACCCTGAGATCGTGACCTGGGCCAAAATTAAGTCAGACATTTAACTGACTGAGCCACCCAGGTGCCCCTAAGCTTGTTTTTTATTTTATTGTATTTATTTTTAATTAGGTTAGCCACCATACAGTACATCATTAGTTTTTGATTAAGCTTGTAAATATTAAATTAGTTTTTTATAATTGGCTCCCACTCCTCAATATTGCCCTCAGGAAGACTATTCCTATGTCATGTCAGTATTTTTGTTGATACTTGTGTGTGTATGTGTGTGTGTGTGTAATCATTTCTGGGCTGTGGAGAGATTTTCTGGAACTTAGAGCCCTTTCTAGGACTGCCCCTAACTAGCCATGTGTATTCCTGACCGGGGTTCTCACTGGGCCTAAGCTGCATTATTCTTGCCTGCATTGACATGGGTTTGGACCAGGTGCTAAGAACCTTTCTCCTCCTGCAAGTGTTTGGGTGAAGGAGAAGGAAAGAAATTGAAACAGCATTTGGATGAAGTGGGTACAATTGTTGAATTTTTTTTTAGATTTTATTTATTTATTTGAGAGCGAGAGAACACATGAGAGGGGATAGGGTCAGAGGACGAAGCAGACTCCCCGCCGAGCAGGGAGCCCGATGAGGGACTCCATCCAGGGACTCCAGGATCATGACCTGAGCCGAAGGCAGCCGCCCAACCGACTGAGCCACCCAGGCGCCCCAATTGTTGAATTTTTAAAAGGCCACTAGAGCTTTGTGGTATTTATTGCCAGGTTTCCTTTTATTAATTTTGTTGCTTTCATACCTCAGCACAGGCACTGCCAGACCCAAGTTATACACCAGGTGTTTCCTTCTGCCTTCACATTGCCTGAGGCAGATTGAGTATGTTAATGTTTTATAAGTCAGACTTTCCAACTCCTAATCACTGCAAGTTGTTGGCTGACTTCCCTGCAGTCTTTAGATTCACTATTCATTATCGAGGGTCCTCAATTTGTAGAATTGGATTTGGGTGTGGTTGTGTTAGAAACCAGCGTTATTGTAGTTGGAATATCCTGAAATAAATGATATATGGAAAAAAATGTTGTTGCATATGTCCTTGCTTGGCTCATTTAAGTGCCTGCCTGTCACACACTCATTTAAATTTGACTTTTAAGTAGGGCGCTTTGGAAAATTGAGCTAAGCCAACTCTCAGTGACTTTTTTTCCCCCTCTGAGCATTTCTTTCCCTCTAATAATGTTGCATATTTTACTTTGTCTAGGCTTTTCGAGAAAGACATGTCTGACAAGATGTCTAGTTTCCTGCATATTGGAGACATTTGTTCTCTGTACGCGGAAGGATCGACAAATGGATTTATTAGCACCTTGGGGTAAGAGCACCTGATATCTTGTGTGGCAGGATTTCTTTAAGACCTCTTAATGCCAGCTTAAAAACGGATTTTCCTAAGATAAGAATGTTAGCATTTGATTTTGGTTTTTCCAGGGGCAATTGGAATCATGATACCAAATCTCATGTTAGCCAGGTTTACCTCTGGCACAAAAATACTCTTTTCCTGTAAGTCCTGGAAGTGCAATATCTCATTAATTAGGACTCTTGTAATTCAGAATTTATTATAATTTCCTATTCCTTATATAAGGGGGAAAGTGCAGAGTATACGGGATAAAATTTTAGTATTATTTTTTACAGACCCCAAAGAAGTGCTTTTTAGCTTTCATAAAAGCTCTTATTTTCATATGCTGACTTGTTTGTCATTTAAGCAAAACCAGAACTTCTCCGATGCTTATCTCTCTTCTTTGAAGCAGAACCTTGCCTATTTTAAATTGCAGTGTGCATTTGAAAGTTACATATTGCACAAAGTTCTGTAAATCAGATTTTTGTTCTTTTGTGCTGTCTTCAATTTTTACCCAACTTTTAAGAGAGTAAGTACATTCCACAATGTCTTTATTTGATTATCTTCTCCCTTCTCCTCCTCCCGTTGTTGAGAAGAGGAAAGGAGAAGTGAAATAGCCCCAAAGGCAGAAAGAAGCAGAATGGAGAATCAAGATGGTTAACTCCAGAAGACATATGAATGGTCTAGATTGTCTTTGTGTAGAAAGGAGGAGTTAGGCCCCGGGGTGGAATTGTTGAATTTGGCAGGAGCTGATCTCAAATGTGGGAAAGGAAAGCCAACACCTTCTCTAAGAACCTCATTCTTAGAGTAGCCAGAGCCTTTCTTTTAATCATAGCTATTATTTAAAGCATGCTTGGTCTCTGGTATTTGTGCAGAATGAGTACTCTCAGGCTCTCATTCAGGTCACTCCGGGCTCAAGGAGCAAATTATTTCAGATATAGAAGTATACCTCGGGCGCCTGGGTGGCTCAGTTGGTTAAGCGACTGCCTTCGGCTCAGGTCATGATCCTGGAGTCCTGGGATCGAGTCCCGCATCGGGCTCCCTGCTCGGCATGGAGTCTGCTTCTCCTTCTGACCCTCCCCCCTCTCATGTGCTCTCTCTCTCTCATTCTCTCTCTCAAATAAATAAATAAAATCTTTAAAAAAAAAAAAAAGAAGTATACCTCAATTGGACCTCATTGTATAAAAATTTTGTTTTCAAAAGTCATCCGATGAAAAGCAGTCATCCCTGACTCTGTGATCCCCAAATCCAGTGACTGTTTCTTGGTCCTTACCTTTTTTTTTTTTTTTTTTTACCTCTCAACACTAAAGACCCACCCTTCATGATTTATCTTCTGTGGGTTTTGGCAAAGAGGCCCTTTGCCGCTTGTGCCTCTCTCATTGTCCCTTTTTACTTCTTGGCTGATTCCTTCCTTTTTCTTTCCCTCATGTTGGAATCTTCCATCCTCTTGTTTTTCAGCAGGTAAAGCAATGGTAATAAGTAGCAGGGGTCACCACTTCCACGAATCCTGTGGATGTTTACAGCACTGTGCTAAGGACTGTCCATACATAATGCCTTTAATTCCTAAACACATCTTTATAGTGAGCGCTATTACTGCTCTTTATGGAGGCAAAAAACCTTGGAGCTTCGGAGAGGTGAGGTCACCTGCCCAGGGTTTCACAGCTATGAGCATTCCAGACTCCAGGACCAGTGCTTCTAACAGTTGACCTTGGCAGGGTAGACTTTCCATTCTCTACCTTTCCTGACTATCTGTCTCTGGCAAATTGGCTCACCACCCTCCTCACTGTCTGCCCACAGCTCTTACCTGGCTGCCTTGTGAAACCTCAGTCCCACCTTATGCCTCATCTTTTCTTTGTGGCCCCGATTTCTTGTAGTAGTGCCATTGCCCCTCCAGTCACCCAGGCTCACATCCAGTCGGTAGCTGAGCCCACTTGTGGCAGCCCCTGAAATCTTAATGCCACCTTTCCCTTCATCCTCTTCTTCCAGAGCATCTGTTCTTAGAATTCCTATCAGGTACAAATTATTTGCTTTATAAGAGTTTTCCTCAAGCATTATAAACAAATTATTGATAAGATTCCCTCTCCCCCACCCTCCACTTTTTCTTTAACGTGCAGATGGTCCATTTTGAATTTGGGGCTCTAATACTTAACTCAGATAAATATTCCTTTGGTTCAAAATGGACTTGGAAAATAAAGTTTGACCTTTTTCCTTTTAATATCTTTAACATTTATGGAGCACCAGTGTGACTGACAGTTTTTGTGGAACTTGGCATCTAGCTCCCCAGCCACATTCCATTTGTATAGATGGCGATTACCTCCCCAATGGCTTTATTGACTCCTTGAGCTTCAGAACTTGAGTTGGACCTTGGAGAGCCTGTGTGCATGCACATGCAGTATCAGAGGTGTGCTTCTGAATCACGTGAGGAACGTGTTAAAAATAAAAGTTCTCAGGTGCCGTCCTGGAACACAGCTTTGATAGGCCTGGGGATGATGGGGACCTGGTATCTATATTTTATAAACAAAGTGTGAGGAACATCACCCTCCTTGAGACTCCTTGAGACCAGCTCTTTAATTTTACAGATGAAGGAACTGAGACCAGGAGGAATGAAATAACGTAGTCATTGTCAAGCTGCTAGTAGGTGGCAAAGGGCCATCTACAATTCATTTGTCTTCTGGCCTAGACTGGGGCCCTTTCTCTTACCCCTTAACCCAGCCCTATATTGGATTCCAAGGCACTCCCACCACTTCATATACTATGTTAGATCTGGTAGCTTTACTGTATTTACATCACAGGGGCTCCAGGTGGAAGTTTTCTATGTGCACATTCTGTTCTTGATTTTTGCATAAAAACTCAAGCCATTGACCACACTCTTCCTCTTCTTGATGGAGAGAGGTCTTGTGTCTTAGACCCGAAGGCAGCAAGCTGCTGGTGGGCTACTCTGGCCGCTTTGATTCACCTACCACATAGATAACTGAGCACCTTTCCTGGGCAGGAAAAAGTACTAGCCGTGGGCATCTTTTGGGCCACAAAAGCAGGCACTTCTCTGCCCCTAGGAAGCTCTTAGCCTACTGCACCATTTGTGCTTCATTCAATGAGGTGAGGAGAGGCAGGGAATGCCGGCTCCAGGAAAGGCTCAGGAGGAGGGCCTTCGTGGTGAAGATGGGGGCCCTGAGTCCGTCTTGAAAGACAGGCCAGACTTTAGGAGGTGAAATGGAATTTTGGAGGAAGGGGCAGTAAGAGTAAAGGCAAACTATTTAATGGTGCCTTGCCTTTGGGATAAGGAGCAGCACAGACTAATGGAAGAAACCCCAGAAAACCATAGTATATTGGTTGTCAGCAAGTTCTGTGGTCACTTGGCAAATGACCAATACCTGTTTTAGGAACTTGGATAAGTCATTTAAACTTCTTAGCCTCGGGACACCTGGGTGGCTCAGTCAGTTAAGCGTCTGCCTTCGGCTCAGGTCATGATCCTGGGGTCCTGGGATCGAGTCCCACATTGGGCTCCTTGCTCGGCCGAGAGCCTGCTTCTCCCTCTGCTTGCTGCTCCCCCTGCTTGTGCTCTCTCTCTCTGACAAATGAATAAATAAAATCTTAAAAAAATAAAAATAAACTTCTCAGCCTCAATTTCCTCATCTGTTCAAAAAGCACATTATTTTAAATCTGTTCTTCTAAAAGAATTGTACATGTTAGTTTGGTCAGTCTGCACTTCTAAATACTGGGTCTGTATATAAGTTGGGCCTGGTTGTTTATTTATAACTTTTTGCACTTTCCCCACCTCCATTTCGATTTCCAGTAATTCCATATGATTCTCTCTGCGGGCAGCTTCTCAGATGGCCTTGGGCACAGTTAGTTCCTGGCTGTATTTTGTTCTTCTTTCTCTATAGCCCTGAGGGTATATTCTCTTTATTAATTTGCTTTTGTGGCTCTTGCACTAGCCTTGAGCTCCCTCAGGGCAGGGCCTGGTTCATATTCATCCTCACATTGCAGGGCCCAGCACTGTGCCTGGCACCAAATGGACCCCTCAGCTACCATGAGCTGAATGCGTTCACTCCTTGGTACGCCTCCCGACTTCAACATTTTGCTCAAATCCATCATGGATATGGTTAAGGGAAAAGAGCCACAGAAAACAGTAGGTTAATATGTGCATTGCAGAAGCAGAACCTGGGCTTTTGGATTAGGTTTAGCTCCCTGCATGGGAAACCTGTAGCGTAAACAGGCCCCTGGCAGGAGAACATGGTCATCTAAGTTTTGTACAGGAACAGCACTGGATGTTCAATTTTTGCATAGTGCTTAGGTTTTGTTTCCTTAGACTTGGCTTGATATAGCATTTATCCTTGTCTTCACAGCCTGGTTGATGATCGTTGCGTTGTACAGCCAGAAGCCGGGGACCTTAATAATCCACCCAAGAAATTCAGAGGTAAGTTGATGACCTTGGAGTGGGCACCTCCCTCATTTGAAAATTCATCAGATGTGTTGCTGTGTGTGTGTGTGTGTGTTTAATAAGCAATTGTAGGTTTATTTACTTATAGTTTTTAAAGTATGATTTTAATTCCAAGCTTTGTGACCTTTTGAAAATGTGTAAGTTCAGTGTCAAGATTGGAATTAGAGCCTTCATTTGTATATTGCATACATGTTGATCAGTGCAAATTCAGCTTAAAGCCTTACATTTGTGCAACTATGTCCTTAAACAAATAGGATTTATGGATTTCGTCACAAGGAACATGTGTTATTGCAGCAGATCTCACTCTGCCTTTGGGGGCTCTGGTATTCTTAGATGCTTCAACCTGGAGGGAGAAGGTGTCGGTTATTGCCCTTAGTTTTTGTTAAAAGACCTACTCAGGATAGCCTTCCTACCAGTAGCTTCCCACTACTGGCTTTCTTTTTAGGCCTCTTATATTTGGTATCTTCCTCTGAAGGTAGCTTTAGTTTATTCCAGAAGGTGCTTAAAATATAGTTGGGATGTTAAGATGTTAAACAATTTGTTTTTCTTCTTTGCTTTTGTGGTTCATAGTTCTCAACTCCAGCTGCATAGTAGAATTACCTGAGAGAGATTTAAAATTAAACAGATACTCAGGGCCCCACTCCAGACCAATCAAATGAATCTCTCGAGGTATGGGCCTGGGCACTGGCATTTGTTTTTTAAGCTTGCCAAGTGATTTTTTTTTTAATATTGAGTTGGGGTTGAGAACCCATTGGGTTAGTATTTGACTCATGGCCTCAGTTCCAAAGGGCTCAAATCTTGCCATTTTTAGGTTACATCATTTGAGTGAAAAGTTCTTACTGTTAGTTGATGTAGAAACTGTTTGACTTTTTTGGGTAAAAGCTAAAGGAATTAGAATAAAATAGAAGGCAGACGTTCAGATGGAGAGAAGCCATTTAGAAGATGTTTGGTGTTGAACTGCATCCAGTTGGCATGAGACTATCAAGAGACTATTTTCACCTGGGAGGTGGTGAGGGGGACTGTTGAAAAAGAAAATTGTTGCCATAAGCCCTGTGCCACAGGATCCTGAGCAGCTATGGCCCCTGCGGCCTTTTCTTTCCAATCCTTCCTCTGTGGCTTTTTCCAGAACAGAATCCTGAATGCAGCAGAAACCAAAGATTTGATCTAATAATAATAATCCAGGCAATTACTTACAGAATTAATTCTCTACACTGAATAATAAAATATGCCTCAGTTTATCTTTTTAACAGGGCCAGGATCAGTAGACTCTGTGGCAGGCGCTGTGCTAAGGGTTCTGTGTACATTTTTAGCTCATGGGTTCATCTGTCCACCCTGTGAGGGGATTGAAGTCCTCAAAGGTTGAGGTTAAGTGTCTTGTCTGAGGTCACACAGCTGGTGATGGATGGGGCAGGAGCTGTAGGTCTCAACTTTGGCCAAAATCACCTGGGGGACTTGGAAAACTGATGTTGAAGTTCCAACCTCAAGGATGGTCATTTAATTTGGCATTGATGGTTTCCTTTCTTTTCTTTTTTAAGCTTCCCAGGTGATTCTTCTGTATGGCCAAGGTTAAGCACCACTGCTAATAGAGCCTGGGCTATAAACTCCTGGCTTTATTACTTAGGAGTGAGCTGGTTGGAGTGTGGCTTATGCAGCTGGAGCCAAGTGGAAGGCACTCATTGCTTGGATTCAGTGTGAGCTCTTATCCCATTCTGCTCACAAGGCCTGCTAGCTGTGAAAGGAACCTGGGAAAGATGTTCATGCCCTGTACAAAGTGAACTAGTGGCTATTTGAATACGGGGTTTAGAATGTTAAAATAAACAGGACCATAGCCAGGGCAAGTCAGAAGACATATTTTCCTGGCACTAGGGTCAAAGTGCCTGGTGCTTCGATAGATATCTGGTGGCCGATTGAAGGGACTGTTCTGAGGTAAAAGTGACAGTCTGATAGAGTCCATTTGGAAAGAACCAAACTTTGTTTATGGCCCAGCCTGGTTCTACAGGTGGTCACATGACACTGACCTGATATATGTTGACTGCTTTTCCTCATAAATTAAAAATAAAGGTTTCTAGGTTGTGAGGTGCTTTGCACTTGTGGGAAAATCTGGTTCCAAACAAGCCCTGCTGCAGGCTTTGCAAATGTAGGTCAGGACTGCCTAGATTCCTCATGCTGCACCCGAGGCCCTCGGCATGCAGGTGAGGGGCCCAGGCAGAGGGCCTTGGAGATCTCCCCCTTGGAATCTGGGCAATGAGGATTTAAACACTTTCCAAAGCAGCCCTTCAGTTCTAGTATAGCATTCTTTGAAGAAAAAAAAAAAAATTTTTTTTTTCCTAAAATGAAGAAACCGATTTCTCTTTTGGAAGCGATTATTGCCTTTCCAAATACAAGTGTATTTTGAAGTTGAAGTAATTTTGATATTTAGAAATTGTGCATAGGGCAGTTGGACAATTTAGAGGCATTTCTAGTCCATTTCCTTGCCGTGCCATTACACCCTGGAGTTTAACAAACATATGGAAAAGTGAGATGCTGGCAAGCAGCCGGCTAGGATGATGGAGTCTTTATCTGAGCAATCAGCAGAGCTACATTTAGTCATTTGGATTTGTTGTTGCTTCCATTGTTTCCTTGCCAACTTATTTCCTATATTGAGAACCATCATAACCTGTTCTTAAGTAAATGGAAACCAAAGGCCTATTTATGTAATGCTCCCTATGGCTTCTGACTTGGGGTTTTTTAATTTTGTGAGCTCCTCTTTTTTTTTTTTTTT